TCCTAAACAATCTCGCTTCTCAATTGTAAATTGTTTACTTTTGTTTTAATTTATTGGTTTTAGATTGTTGTATAATCTGTTAGGATTATAATTTAGGTTTGGTTGTAATGCATTAAGATTATAATATAGGCATGAAATTCATTGATTTAAAAATTTATATATGTAATTTTGTAATATACTGAACACATGCACTATATGATCCATAGCTAAAATTTTTTTAACTATCCATAGTTCTGTTAATCGCCATCTTTAATTTTTGTTGGCATAATTTTGGACGAATAATATGAATTAAAATCATAAACATTTTCAGAATTTTTTTTAAAAAAAATTCCAGCCGGTTAAGTCCTTTTCAGTACATATGCATTGTTCTTCTGAATTTAGATAATTTTTTTTGGTTGGTATATTTGATGATTTTAATTGCGATTAATTAATTAGACAGATTTACGAAATTCTATTACTTAATATTTTTTTTAAAATTGCAGATGGCAAACAACTCTTACACCAATTATCTAGATTCTACAAATACACTTTTCCCACAACAACGTCGAGTTAATCTACAAGGCCCGAGAACTCATACCTCTCATCGTGTCCCGAGTTTTGTTCCTGAGACGCAGCCTGGTAACAAAATTCTCATTTGTCAAGAAAATTTTAATTATAATGTTATAACTTACACAATTTAGTTACTTATTTTTACAGAAATTTATTATTTTACAGCTTGCTCCTAGTACCAGAAAGGGAAAGATGGCTTTCACGGGTTCTATTCTGATCGATGAGGAGGGAGTTTCCTATTGCCCGATTTCTTCCTATGCCTATGATCCCATTAGAGAGAAGAAGTTGGAGCTCGCAGAACAAGATATCAAATCACTAAAGGAGGAAAATCGCATTATAAAGAAAGACTCCAACAGCTTCAATGAAATGTTTACGATACTCGGCGCTACGAATCCAACGATTGCAGAGAAGATGCGGAAGAAGAGGGAAACAACAACGACAAGAGGAGAAGGAACATCCGGAATATCTAACTATTTTGTTTCGAGATTATTTGATATGAACTCGCATTAGTTTTATTTTGTTTTTGATGTATTAAATATTCGAGTTTTTTTAGTAACATCTAATGTTAAATATTCGGTTTTATGTAATTAATTTGATTTTAAAATTTCATCATTTTAAATTTTTAAAAATTAAATTAAGTAAAAATAGATATTTTATAATATAAAAAATCTAATTTTTTTGTCGCAAAAATGTCGCAAAATTAACAGACGCAAATATTTTACACTCAAAAACGTCGCAAAAACTAAAACGTCGCACAAACCACGCAAAACGTAAAAATTGTAAATTTCCTGCACTTAAAAGGCACGCAAAATTGACGCAAACGCCACGCTATATCAGTAAACGCAATCTCCTCGCTACAAGATATCACGCAATTACGTCGCAAACAATAGCGTCAAATTTGCGTCGAAACT